TTTTTTCAGATGTCCTATTTAAGTATTTAAGTAAAAGCTTTCAAAATAAATTTATTCTTTTTAATTCAAAAATTATTGACTTTTTTTACCCCAAAGGAAAGGTGTGAAGGGCACCTGTGATCAGCGCATGTGCGCATTGCAGCCCTGCAACGCCGTGGCGACAGTTTAAAAACCCAACGATAGTAATTGACCTCGAGATGTCATTAAAATGCCCCAAACAACCTCATTGCTATTATTAGTTGATCACCCATTAATTAATTCCTTTGTCGCCATACGTTTGAAATTTGTGCTTGTCTTTTTCTGGTCTTTTGGCAAGAAAAAAACAAAAAACTTTTTCCATTTGTCGATTTCCTCTGTCCATTTTTCTCTTCCCTTGCCCACTGTTCTGCGTTGAGTTTTGTTTTTTTTGCGGGGTGGGTGTTTTCTTGGCCTGTGGTTTGTCTTCCTTCTGAGACAAACCCACCCGTCCATGCGCATATTCACGCCCAATCCCAATCAATATCTCTGTCTCTTTCTCCCTCTGGTTCTTGTTGAAGGAAAAAATTTCATCTTCCTTTGATTCCCTCTTATTCCTGGGTCTTGTCTCTGCCTCCACGCAATAGTACGGTTCTTCTTTTCTTTTTGGATTGCCCCACCTCCACTTTCCTTAATGCGAAAGGTCCTTTTCTTTTTGGGATTGCCTTCTTTTGGTGGGGGTTACTTTAGGGTTTTCTGATCCTCGAGTGATTAGCTTCTTCTGGGGTTTGATTTCTCCGTAATTTTTCGAACAATTCCGTGTTTATCTCAATCTGTTAGGACAGCTTTCTTCGCGAAATGGTAATTCTTTCCTGATTTCCGTGTCTAGGGTTTGTTCATGTTTCTAAGAATGTTGAGTTTCAGAAACACCTACCGGTTCTTCCTACCCAGAATCAGCTTACCTGTATATATGAGCCACCAGTGTTGTAAGCCTTAGGTGAGGATTATTTGTCTCGTTCGAGGTTCCCTTTGAAACATGGGTTGTGTCCATGGCAAGTGTTGTCGCGGCTACATTCCGCCGTCGGAGTGTGGTGGTACTAGCAGCTGCCGCGGACTCGGCCCTCGCCGTCGCCAAAGGAAACACAAATTTACTCAAAGTTCATTGAAGTTTGCTCCTGTTCCTTCCCACAACTACGTTTTAGAATACTCGTTTCTCACACAGCAAGGATACTACCCTGATTCACCTGATAAAGAAAACCAGGATACTTTCTGTATTAGGACACAGATTCAAGGTAACCCAAACGTCCATTTTTTCGGTGTCTATGATGGGCATGGTCAATGTGGTAGCCAGTGTTCGAATTTTGTTAGGGATAGGTTGATAGAAACATTATCAAATGACCCTGCATTGTTGGAGGACCCCGGTAAAGCTTATACTTCAGCATTCTTGGCAACGAATTACCAATTACACAACAGTGATATTGATGATTCTATGAGTGGCACTACTGCAATCACAGTGCTTGTTGTTGGGGACACACTTTATGTTGCTAATGTTGGTGATTCCAGAGCGGTGCTGGCAGTAAAGGATGGGAATTGCATCGTTGCTGAGAACTTGTCTAATGATCAGACACCGTTTCGGAGAGATGAGTATGAGAGAGTGAAACTTTGTGGTGCAAGGGTGTTGAGTGTTGATCAGGTGGAAGGGCTAAAGGATCCGGATGTCCAAACATGGGGTGATGAAGAGAGTCAGGGAAGCGATCCTCCAAGGTTGTGGGTTCCAAATGGGATGTATCCTGGAACTGCATTTACAAGGAGTTTAGGGGATAGTTTGGCAGAGACTATTGGTGTCATTGCTACTCCAGAAGTGTCAGTGGTTCGGCTGACACCTAATCATCTTTTCTTTATTGTGGCAAGTGATGGCATATTTGAGTTCCTATCAAGCCAAACTGTTGTTAACATGGTACGGCATGCAACTTGTTTTCGTGGTAGTTCTTTTGGTCCTTTCAATGTCTTCAAGTTACGAAGTATTTTTGTTGAGATAGTAGTTTATGCTGTTGACCAATTTTTATTAGTTGAATAGTTGAATTTGACTTGTCTGCTGTCAGTGGAAGTCTTGTGACATTTGTTAATGGCTCACTATTAAAGGCTTGAAAACATTGATGCAGTATATATCCTCCCCTAATCAAATGTTTTTGGCAACTTTAGGTTTCTCATTAAGGATCGCTGGGGGATATTATTTTAGACCATGCTTAAGCCAGTAAAGCTTACATGATAAGCTCTTCTCACAGTAGTGCTTATGTATAGTGGAACCTGGCTTGTAGTCATTATATAAAGTTCATAGTTGAAATGCTATGTACTTTGTTGTTACCTCCTTCATAATTTCTCTTGATAAATTCTGATACTTTTATAATGTAGGCAGCAAGCTACACAGATCCTGGTGAAGCATGTGCTGCCATTGCTGGAGAGGCATATAAACTATGGTTGGAACATGAAAACCGAACAGATGATATAACAATTATCATAGTTCAGATCAAAGGCCTATCTAATGTATGGATTACTTGAACAATTCAAGGGCTTCTTTTAATTTTAATGTTTTTATTCTTGCATATAGGTTTTTATGAATATGTTAAATAAATCTTGTATGCCCATCAATATTTTTGACCACCTAAGAAAATACAGATGGCAAGAAAACGACTTTTTATTGTGAAAATTCTCCTGGGTCGGTATTCTAAGCTAGTAATTTGCTATCGTGCATTTATTGTATATTGTATGCCCACTAATATTTGTTTTGATCATTTAGGCAGGTACGTCTGGAGTTGGAGTAGATAATATTAATGTTAGTACGGCAACGCGGGCAAGGAGAGGAACTTCTGAAGTATCTACTACCACTTCATCGGATGTTTATTGTTCTGTGAGGAGTGAGCTCTCTGATCAACAGTGCTGTCAGAACGTAGTTTCAATGAGAAGCCCAGCTATAATTGTCCCATCTCCATCATGCCAAAGACCGGTTGAAGAGGTTAGTGCCTTTTTTTTGTTTTTTTGGTGTCTTCTGATTATGATCCCTAGTATAAGTGTCGGTGACCACTTCAGTTCAAAACTTAGATTGGTTGAGTAAGGGCTCAGAACTAGTTTATTACAATATCCCCAACACTAAGTCCTTCCCTTTCCATTTACAGTGATTGAAGAGAGGCTTTATGGAAGCTTCATCAAGTTTTGTTGTAATTTCTCCCACGTGGTAGGTTTCTTCATTCTGTTTTACTCTTTTGAATTACTGTTGTATATTTACTGGCTCCATATGAGTCATATTGCAAGTTTCAAATGGTGGCTTGATTCTTCCATTGACTCAAATATAGGTATTAGAGCTGCTATGCTGTCAAAAGTGATCTTGCCCTCTTTGGAAGACCATTTCTACTTGTAATACGATCCATTCATTTCCAAGAATAAAAAGTTATATGAATGGCTTATCTTATGTAAGCTTCAGTTTTAATTCAATATATTTGTTGCCTTTTACCAAGAAAAATGCTGACTCTATTTTTATTTTTTAGGCAACTGAAGGTTCCTGCTTTGAGGAGCATATCTTAGGCAGCTGAAGGCTTCCATTTTGGAATGTAGAAAGCTGAACTGGTCAATGTTAATTTTCTTCTAATTCAGATTATAGAACCACATGAGAAGCACACAAAGCCAGTTTCCTGGGATGGCTCTGCCCCTCCAGATTTTAACATTGAGAGGGAACCTAAAGACAATTCGGGATTAAGGAGGAAGGGTCAGATCAAGGTAAAGAATTTGACATGTTTCATATTGAGTTCTCCAATGAAAATATTAAATCCAAGTCCTCTTTTGGCGAAAAAAATGATTCACGTGATGCTGAGCTGTAATAATATTTACTTGGGATGTTTTCATTGGAGGACTTGATAACAAAACATGTAGAAATTGCTTAGAGATTTTCCGGGAAAAGGAACTTATGCAGCACACTGGGTGCTTACAAACTGAGGAAACTCAAACACACAAGGTGGCAAACTGGGTCGGCAGAACTGCCTTTTTTTAGCATCCAAAGCAGATCCATGTTCTCTCAGTGCAGATGCTGGATCGGCTCCATTGTTGTGTGAATCAGAACAATATCTGCGTTTTTTATTTGCATTGCAAGATCAATTCCATGTAAAATGCCGAATTATTAATTTTCCTTTCCTTGGGTAGGTGAAGGAATCAAGTTTTCAATCCAACACATTTTGGATATTTTTTTTCCACGTCTCTCTACTAGATTCATTGATGCCTTGTGGCCTTCCAAAATGTTGAATTCTCAGTGTTGACAATAAATAAGTTCTTTTACATTATCAGTTTGTTAAACGGGATTAAAAAAATTACTTGTAATAGTATAGAAGCAGTAATGGAATTAATCTCTCTCTCTCTCTCTCTCTCACAAATCTGTGCAGCTCTGAAATGCCTTGTTAAATGAATCATCATCAATACATCTGACAAAATTATACTTGTCACCTGTGTATATTGCGGTTATTTCGAAAAGTCCGCTCCAATTTGCATATAATCAATGATTTATAGATACGCATAATCTCAGCGAAGCGATGAAACTAGATCAGTGGATATCAAACAAGCGTCGTCTCATATGATTTAATTAGTCGCTTCAACTAATGATTTGACAGTTGAATTAGTGATTCGTTGATCCAATTCTTGCTTCATTTCCCGCATAAGATTAGCGAGCATTTACCTTGGCTTCGTATTTTAACTCCTTTGGAGTTTTCATTCTCGTACAAGCTACAAACCTTGGCTCCCCAACCCAGGAGTAGCCATGGATTCTGAATGCCGTATGCTGCTTATTTTGGCACACTTCAAAAGCAGCTAAACAAAATGATTTTATACTGATCAAGACAAAACCCTTGTCACCTACTTACCATATATACTGGAAAATCACTTTTAAAAAACTAATCCAAACACTACTAAATTCATCTAAATTCAGGTTTATGTCGATCAAGAATTAGTGGTTATCATTTGTATTATAGTTGCATTTTCTACATGAGTTGAGACAGACAGGAGGGTAGATAAACATGATATTCTCATTTTCTGGACAAAACTGCCTAAAAACACGCTTTGGGTTAACATATATTCTTATCCTCCCTCTTTTTTCTTCTTTTGACGCAATTCCCTCTATATATTGGTCCAGCGTAATGTAAAATACAAGCATCACAAAATCATTAAGCAGATCAGAAGTACAGAGAAAGCTTCTCATCTATGACATTCTGCAGCAAATTGCACTGCTCCAGTAGTCTGCTTAACTTCTCAGCTTCGCTGTTTGCTTTGCCATTTGTTAGGACTTCACTTCTAGCATTGTCTAATCCATGTGAGGAAACTGTGTTATCAACGCTGGGCAGTTCATCCATTGCAGAATCCCTCAAATCACCTGGGCTAACAGTTTCATTCATCACATCATCTGTGTTCTGTGAAAGTTGAAGAGGCCTTGATTGACTCTTCATGAGGATAGGAGAGCCACATCCAACTTCAATTATCTCATCCAAAGACGCACTTTGATAAAATAATGAAGGCGAATTAGCTTCAAAGTTCACATCCATATCTGAACTCGGAGGAGAAACGCGAGTCTGTTCTGATATGTAAGCTGAAGAGACTTCGCCACTGGATAAACTCATCAATCTCCAATTGAAGATTCGACGGAAGATCATGGTCCACTGCGGAACTATATGGTAATTTGAGCCGCAAAGCTCGAGTCTAGCACATGACTGCAGCATGACATGTGCCTCTTTTGTTGCCAATGGGACTCCCATGATCTTACTAGTATCGGTCAGGTAATGAATCAAGCTACTTTCAAGCCTTAACCTGAGGTTCTCAATGTCATGTTTTGCTTTAGAGCCAACGGCCAACCAGGATAGATCATCACCAAACGAGGGGAGCTTGCAATCTTGGAAAGCCCTGATGATTTGTCCTATTTTTGGATTGGAGCTCCAACCTGATGGTGGCAAGTAGTTTTTCAGCAATATATCCTCATAACTAGACTGGTCAAGCATACCAATCTCAGGACACGGCCAACCAGCAGGATTTGCATTAGCAGCAGCAACAATCTCCTGTAATGATCGATCTAAAGCTTCATTGAACACTGAGATACAGTCAGTAGGACCCAACCTCGAGTTATTGGAGCTACACAGTACCCTCAACAAGGAACTATGATAGGTATGAACAAGTTCTCGCACTCTCACATACTGTAGGGCGGGCTGCAAGGGTGACTCTCCTGCCAGCCACTCCAGCCCCTCTCTTAATCGTCTGTCACTGAAAAATCCACCCAAGTGTTCTATCTGTTGATTCTCAATAGGGAAGACAAGCAGAAAGCCACTAACGCGGGATTTATCAATATCATCAAGGCCCAGTTCATTAATTATAACAGGAGAAAATCCTTTATCATATGAACCACATAAGATCAGAAGGGGTAAGTGAGCACCAGTGGGAATTGACGTGAGAATATTATGGAGTTGAACTCTTTGAAGTTTCCATGGGATGCTCTCAGATACAAGAAATAAAACTGCACTTGCCCCAGATACTGTTTCATCTCCAACACAGAAAGATGTGTCCCTAATTACAGAGAAGCAGCAAATAGGATCAGCACCACATTGCCCAGGAACCCATTTCTTCCATATTGTCAGGCCAGGCGAAGAAATAACCACATCCTCGTCACAGGAAGGCATGAGCTTTGAGATCAACCACGAGCCTGCTGCACCCATTTTAAGTCCTTTGTCCGCCTGAGAACAGAGGATAATTTTCCAGCACAAACATTTGACACCTGAGTTTCTTCTTCGTAGTATGTCACCGGCCATTTCTGAAATATTAAGTCTTGCCCAGGACTTTTCCTGCTTTTCGTATCTCTCTCTCACGGCTTCATCAACGTCAAACTTGTCAAAGTTGCTTGGTTGCTACATAGAGAGTAAAAAAGATAAGGAAGTCAGTACATTATACTAAGTTAAGGATCGGTAAAGGTCTTGATAGTTATGTAAAAGTTATATATATACACAAACATAAATTGGAGCAAAAATAAAGAGGGGAAAAGTGCCAATAAAGGGGTCACTAAATCATAATCAGCCCTACAAGAAAACTCTCACTAACCCTGCAGCTAATGTAAAAAGAAAATGCACAGCAGAATTGGTTTAAATTCACGCTTAGCAATCTTACACCAATGTAATGTCGTATAGGTGGTCCCAGTGACAACGACTCCAATGCAGCATTTGCTGCAAATTCCCTTTGTTCACGTAGCATCCTCAACTTTGACGTCCGTCTCTTCCATAACCTGACAGGGTAGACATATAAAATAGATTGACTTCAAACAAGTAACAAACATAACAAATGCAAGTTAGGTAACAAAAAAATAGGCAACAAAACAAGGCTAGAAAACCTTAAGAATAGCTTGAGCTTAGCTGCAGAAATTTCTTCATCTAGATCATTTTCTTCAGCTTCGTCAATTTCATCTTCGTTTACTTGGTTAACGAGTAGAGGTTCATCTTGAGATGCACCTTGGGGCACAGTATCAGCCACAGAAAAATGAAAGCCATATCCTCTTGAGCTTTCTGATGGAGACAGTTTTGTCACACTCTCAAGGAGCCTTCCATCCAGCTCTGAATGAAAGATTCTCTTAGGAGAGCTTGTGAATATAGCATCAGAGTTAGTACGCTTAGTAAGTACAGATCTGGTTGGCTGTGGTTCAGGTATACCACGATTAAAGAAGCCAATTGGTGACGAAAAAGGCATAGTAAAACTATGATCAGTTTCACTATGTTCAACTGCAATCGGCATTTCCTGAAATTTCCTTCCAGATCTACCATCCTTTGGGGACAAAATAGCTTCAGAGTCGGCCATTTCTTCATCAACCTTCTCAATTGAACTAACTTCTTTGACAGATTGTTGCTCATTCTCATACTTCTTCTGTATCTGGATCTTGTTTGTTGTCTCAACAGGTGGCAATACAACTTGATCTGAGGGTGAAACATCTTCTATTATCGTTTCTGACCTTTTCTTGTGAACTAGTTTGGAACACTTGGTGGGATAATCATTATCAATATTGAGAAATGGCCCTTCCCTCACCATATATGGTTCTTCAAATGTTTTCACCAAGAACCCATGATACTCTAGCAGGCCGTCTATGTCCTCATCCTATGTTTGGTGACAAATCCACATGTAAGACGACGTCGGGAAATCCTTCCACCCAATGCCCTCCTCAAGACAAAAGGAAAGAATGAAGAGAAAAAGCATTTCTCCAAGTCAAAGCAAGAAAATTACCTCCATAGCAAGCCAGTTAGCAACATGCGAAACAGGGAGACCTTGGTTATTTTGCAAACCAGCATGTAAAGAACCAAGTGCCTGGGTACGCAACTGGTGAAGATGACAAAGCATATAAAAAAAATGAGTTTGATTCACCATAAGAGAAAATTAAATAACAGTTATTTAGACAATGCAAAAGGTGAAATCAATGAACTTAACTGGGTTTTTTTGTTGCTTTTTTTGTTTGGGGGGGGTGTTCATGCTTAGTATTTCTTTTGGTAATTAAGTATAGTTTGTTTTTCATGCATCAAATGATTAATTTCATAGAGCAAATAAACCATATACGTCTCATCCTAGAAAAAGAAAATGCACTAGCTTGCCTTCAATTAAGTAGCACTTTCCAAGAGCACCTGTATGTATTCATCCACTTAAGTTAGGGAAGTGCATGCAGAGTCTACAAATATTACCCTAGGTTCATGGTTTGTTTTGAGCCCCATAACACATTATGCAATTCACTAAACACAAAAAGTAACAATGATACATACCTTTGCAAAGTGAGCATGCATTAGACACGCTTGAAGATAACTTGCCTTTCTAGCAAGCCGAAAGAAGGCAATAAAATTACCAGTTCGGCAAGCCCTGCACAGGCAAAGGAAAAATAATGATCAGACTGGAAACATAATAGCCAAAGTAAATTAACTTCGGTGGAAATTACAACCTTGCTACTTTGCGGGCAAACAGAACTTCTGGAGTCTGCCTGGTCTCAGGAGTCATCTTAGCAAGATCAAGAGAGAGTTCTGCCGGTTCAACCTAGCAGAACTAGTTTTCACCAATCTATCTATTATCATATAGAAACCTTAAAGATGATTTACTATACAGATCACTTACTTTATAACCAGGATGCTTGTCCAATTTAAGGAGAGCATAGTAGCCTCGAAACTCCTTCTCTGTTGGCACATTTATTCCCTTCTTTCTGTGATCATCATACATCTGAAACAAGTCTACTGAAGTTTTGTTCATCTGTTCAATGTTCAGGTGAGCATCAAATCCTTCTGAAAAGCCCTCCCCTTTTGTGTATTCACATAATTCATGCATTGCAACTATGTGTAATCTTATCTGAAATCAGAGCAACCAGCAGCTTCATTAATATTTAAAATCAAATATGCTTCATTTATATACCACCTAACAGATGCATTTCTTGACTAAGCTAGCAGAATTTCCAATAAATGAATGCTTTTTGCAGCAGACGTTATCTTAAATTATAAAAACCCATAAGCGCCCCAAGCAGAACTACGTCAAAAGAAGAAACTTCATCACAATTCAGAAAAAAGACCAGGATTTGCACAAGACTTTTTTGGCCAACACAATATTTGCACGTTAGAAGAAAATAATACAAGGTCCAGAATTGGTGCAACAAACAGAGACTCAGGAACAATCTCTGAGACCCCAGAAACACAAAAGCTGTATAGAACCAAGAGGAAAATAAACCTCACCCAGGATGAGGAATCAATTTTGAAGCCAAATCAAACAAATATAAGCATGATTTAGAATAAGTAGCTTAGACTGATAATAGAAGAGTAATTTCATAGTCCACAACTAGCCTCTCCCACAAAATCCATGAGCATTATGTGCTGCTATAATTTGATTGGTCATTTTACAAGATGTGAATGACTTATTCTGTTACTACGCAGTACACCTAATGGATATTGAACCCATGATCTTTAAACTGCAGTCTAACATATTAATTGCCACTAGAACCAAAGACTAATGGACATGTATGCAACAAAAAGGCATTAACATTATTCAAAGAAGAAAGCACCATTTGTTCCAACATAGCTATAGCCCCTTGGTTGAAAATGTGCTGCATCCTCAGGTCCATCCTAATTGCCCTCATCCGGTCCCACAAGAAGTTATACATGCCAAGAAACCTTTCATCATACGGCTGATCTAGCAAATCAAGCAGGTAATCAATTGTTTTCTGAAGAACAGGCATAGGCCGAATCAAGCTTGCTTCCCTCTCTGCTGTCCTATTATACTGCCATGTTTCACCCCATTAATGAATATTATTAAAGAATATTTTATAATAACCTCCCAAAAAGAGCAATGAGTGCTTCATAGAAAATGACAGTTACATGATAATTACCTTCTTAACTGCAAGAACTCTGCTGGTTACATTTCTATCCCCATCCACTCGTTCATACTGATCAAGATCCCCTTTCCTTTCACGCTCTGCCCTCTCTGACTCTGAAAAATGAACAAATAAAAAAAAAAAACATTCCCTTCTTTTCCCCAGAAAATAGTACACTTGTTGGCTTTCGACAAAATGAACTACTCTCTCCAATATGATCTTTCTAACAACAAATTAGAAAAAGACTTTAACAGCATGAAATTTGTTTCATTTGCAGACTGGGTATATGAGATAGAAACTTTTGTGATTAATGGATATACAGTTTCTATTAAAAAAAAAAAAAAGAATATCAGATAGAACCAAAATATAGAAGTTCTAACAAATTTTCTTTTAGATTTAAAACCTGAGAAATATACCAGGACACATATCTGGACATAAGCCAATAATTATGTTGGACGTCTTGAGGCCTTCAGAATCAGACAAAGCATGGCCATTAGCAACATTGACAGTTGGTTGTATAGAATGGCCACCATCATATTTTTCCTCTGACAGAGATTGTTCATTTCTACTTGCAGAAGCCTTCCTGTCTGCAGTATCAGAATCACTCTGCTCAGATTTGCCTAGATCCACCTTGAACCGAGCTAAACGCTTTGCCTTGGCTAACATTTCGCTAAAAGAAACAATAAGAATGAAGACCATCAAAGACATAATGTGATGACAAAGAACCTCCATAGTGAAAAACGATGGCACCAATGTACCTAATAACTTACCGTTCAGAATTGTCATTTGAGGAGTTGATTTTTCCTTCAAGAGTTTTATCACTTGAAGATATTCGAGGAGGTGATCTTGTTCTTTTAGGAGTAGAGGAACTGATGGAGCTGTTTAATGCAGCTTCGGAAACTGTAGCAGGTGGTGAAGATTTTTTATAGACTTGTGCGTGAGGGCCACTCCTTATAATGCTAGACGTATTTCCCAAATTAGGAGGAGATGAAGGCCTGAAATGGAAACCAGAGAACAGGTTATCTATATGTACATGCTGTTTTATTCTTTGCAAGTGAGATATAAATAATAATGTATGCTAAAAAGCATTGCAACTCAAGAAAGTCAATCTTATCATTTTCCTTTAAACACCAACTCTCATGAGCTTGATAGTTCTCATAAGGTAGCCACAATGTTCCTGTGTATAAATTCTCTCTCACAAACTATCTTGATAGTTCAGGGCCTTTACGATATATCTGCAACAATTTTTTTAATAATAGCATCTGTGACTTTTAATGAAGCCAATAGAGTCTTCATTGATGTACATTGGTCACATCTAAAAAACACATCTGGTAAGGAGGTTTTAACTCAAAAAATTCTTTATACCTCCTCTTTCAGCACAAATGACCTTGTCAGACAACAAGTCCATTTCAATCCAACCTATAGATACTGATAGCACTCCAACATGTAACCAAACGCTTATGAAAGCGCCTTAAATAAATTGAAATTTATTATTCACACCTTCGGATCCGCATATAATTAAATGCTTCCTAGGAATTTACAAGCATGTGAATATTCTTTAGGATTTCATACTGCTATAGGGAATCTAGATTAAAGATCAAATGCACTGGGGTCATAACTCTACATAACTCAGATACATTTAGAACTCTGACAACTTATGCAAGTTATAAATAAGAACCATGTAGGATCACAAAAAATAATGTGATTTACCTCATCAAATCTTTCTGAGCAACAGTATAATTATGCTGCAAAACTTCGTTAGATTTGACTAATGGCAAAGGAGGGGACCTAGTTCTGACTTGATAGCCATTAACTTCACTCACAAAACCCCGAGGATTATGAGAAACAACCTGGGTTGAGACCAAGGATTGGACCTGATGTTCCGGTGAGCTGGTATAACTGCCTGATAGACTGGCCAGGTTACCCAATGTACCGGAAGCTACAGCTGGCCTACATACATAACAAGAATAACTTCAGGAAAAGAACATGGAAGGCATTTAAGACATCCGAGGTAGTAAGAAAGCATTGTCCATGCAAGAAAGCCAGCAAATGGCAGGCAGCCTATATAAGTTTATAAACAACTTGAGACAATATTTAAGTCAACAATAAATAGGACTATCTTTAGACCAATTTAGTACAACATTCCTCCTCAGCGCTTGCATAATTTAGTCTTGTAAAATGAAAGGAGCCTGAAACAAGGGTTTCCCCACTTTTCTTAATAGTTCAGTAAGATGATTCACAAAGAACATAAAACCCTGACATCAGCTTGAACCATGAAAAGGAGTCATTGATAAATGATCTGAGACTAGTAGGCAATATAGGTAGCCAAAGAAACTGATTCTAATCTTTCACTTGCCTTCTAAAAAAAATCCAGCTATTTAGAGTCTATCCTTACATCCTCCATATGAGGCAATAATGCAAAATTCCTGTTTCCCTCTGGCTTATCTAATAATCTTAAGAGATAATCAAACAACTCCTAGACAGTAATAAACTACAATATCCTTGAACAAAAATAAACACATAATTCTTCAACATTTTGTCTCACTCTGTAACCCAGTATCATAGGCTGGGGGGACTACCCAAGGGAAGTAAATTGAAAGCTTATAACAGATCTGCAAGTGAGTTGGACAACATGGCCAAGTAGAACAGATAGAAGCATGTCAGAGCCACCTACAGTAAGCATGTTCACGAATTTTCAAAGTTGTTTCAGAGAGGCGAACAATGTTAGAGGAATTGGTAACTGCTGAAGTTCTTGAATCATGATGCAAGTGTCTAGGTGCCTAATTGTGGGTTTTCTTTAGTGTCTACTTTGTTTTTATTCGCAACAAACTGAAGCTTCTATAATCTTCAACTTGAGGGGCAGTGTTATAATAGTGTGATGGGTGGGATAGATATTGGCTGACACATTAGTGAACTGGCCTTGTGTTTATTGTATTGTATTATTCTTCATTTATTATAGGGACCCCACTGTCCGTGGAGAACCCACCCTTAAAAGAAAGATTATCCTTACATACCACACCAGTCAACCCCATATGGTGGCATCTCATACCATCTAGTCCCCATAGTAACTTAGATTTATTAAAATGAATAGACGCACAGGGAACTCACCAAAGTTGATAATTAATCCCATTCATCCCTGTCTTATCTCCCTTTCTTTCACTCAAAGGAAGATTTCAACAATCATCAACTGAACTCAATGTTTTTCCTAGATCATGCAAATACAATATTGACCAGGGCATTGAGAATTGCCATATTTCAACAGGAGTAATAATGGCAAAACAAGGTTTAACAAGCTATGGAAAGCGAGAGCATTTCAGCATACAGAATAAGTGCTCATGAAGCACAAGCAAAATATTACAGAAGCATCTTTTGACAATTTACTGCACAACGATAGTGCCTAAATACAAGACAAGACTTCAATTTCAACAATACAAGATTTCAATATTAACTTCGTAAATCATATACAAGTGTACACACATAAACGACAAAAATACAGTGAATGCAAGGAGATGAAATAGAAAAACCTAAAACTTACTGTTGAAGAGCAACAGAAGGCCGAAAACTCCGAACAGGTTGATAGCCTACAGGTACCAAAGGAGTTGATTGTGATTTCAGATGCAGTGACTGACTATGGCCATCAGTAAGCAAATTTGAGGTGCTGCTGCAATCAGCAAGTAAAGCAGAAGTTAAAGCCTCAAATAAATTAGAAAGGCAAATGAGATAAAGTCATCAACCAAAGTCATTTTTGGGGAACACAAGAGCCAAGAGCTTAAAGTATATGAGCAGCAGACTGTAAGTACAAAATGGCTTGAAGACAATACGACAAACTATCTCCCATCCCAATAATACCCCACATGCCAAATTGTACAGAAAGTAGGCATACAGAGAACAGACCTCAACAGATAATAAACATTAGTGACAATACCTCTTCATCTTTTTTCTTTTCGCATGTATGACAGATTTATACACATACTAATAGCACATTACATATGTAAAAATTACTTACTACAAGATTCTCCAGATGTCAGGATTACCAAAAGGGAATAGGCAATCAAGCCTGCTTACCTTGAACCACTTACGTCAGTCAAATCAATATAATATAAACTTGAATTCAAGAAATTGTGAAGTGATTAGCATGGTTATTAATATGTTTATTGAAAATACAGGCAATAGTGCATTAGCGTTGGCATTTCAAAACCTGGATTGGTATATTTTCAAGGCCAGTTTAGCACACAGAGGGGAATGGAAACCCTTTCTATTGCATATAAAACAAGATATGTGATGCGCGCGGGCACACACAGAGCACCTATCATTTTTGACATTGTTTATCATTGTAATTAGGCGCAGGGATCATTTTCCAATCACATCCTCATTTCCTTTCCCTTTTCATACTTAAGGAACAGCCTATCAGTCTACACAATCGACAACTGAGTTCAGATTTAAATTAAGCAAAAAATTGAAGGAAAAAACCCCAGATACATAATATAGAGAAAAATAATGAAGATAAAATGATCTCACTTTCTCAGAACAGCTTGACCGGGGTACTTGGATGCATCATTGCCTGCATATGGTAAGGGAGGAGATCTGGTTTTTTCTGGGTTTTGAGATCTAGAAACTCTGGCTGTAATGCCAGTGGTGGAATCCCGCGAGGCAGCAAGTGTTGTAATTGCTGCCAGATTTTCAGGAGCAGGGGCATCCAAATCTCTATAAAATAGTTTCTTCCCAGCACTGAAACCAGAAGACTCAGTGGATATTAAAGACAATAAGTACTATCAGCAACGCAACATTTAGTAACAAATTATATCCACTCTAAGAGGATTTGGTCAAAGAAGGAACAAAGAATCGTTCTTTCGGAAAATAAAGCAACTGCTAAGGAAAAAGACCTGATCATATACTATAATACTTGTTAATATATGGACTTCAACTTGAGCTTTCACGACAATGCTTGCAACATACAACAAAGAGTGATCCCTACATAAACCCGTTGCCGGAATCACAATCTCTTGAAGTAAAATGAAATTAGGGAGCTTCTCAGAATCGACATCATGTCAGTACTAAAACGAGAAGTCACGAAACAAAATCCTCAAATTTCTACTGTGTCCCTATTCAACGTGCAAACTCTATTTCACCGCCTAATGTTTTTCAATAATTCGGGAAGAAGAAAAAAAGATTCTCGATTTCAACTGGGTTTTCCCACAAACTGACGGAGAATTAGTCGAATCCCAAGATGAAACGGTCTTGAATATTTCAGGAAGACAAGGAAAAAGTAATGGAATTAACGAAATACCTGTGTCTAGGAGGTGACGGCGAAGTGGCATATGGAGAAGCTGGAGTTGCGAGAGAAGAAGACGGCGGACGGAGGAAAGTGTTAGTATGACCAAAGGCTGGTTGTGATTTGGGTGGCACAGAGGGCCCTGATTCCTTCCCAAATCCCGAATACGACATGATACTTCTTCCTTCTCCTTTTCGTCTATCGCATTTGTTCCAAACAAAGAGAGGCTTCTCTGTGAGCCACTCGTCAGGGGGGAGAAACTCCTTCTAATACCCACTTCTTCGTGTTCAGCTCGTATTACTTCGTTCTCTGAATCACAACTAATAATTTACAGACAAAGAAGCCTTTCTCTTGCTTGTTGCCCGCCCATGGCATTCCAGAAGCATATAATCATTCCCCATGCTGCTAGCAAGAATAGCTTACGAGTTAGACCATAATTTCTTTTCTTTGTAAATACAACCTTGGTTTGAAAATTAATAGGTTGAGCTAGGGGTGTGCATGAAGCCCAAATGCCCGCAGAGCCCGCCCGAGTCCGAAGAAAAATTGCCCAGCCCAGCCGAAAAAAAAGAGCCCCGAAAAAGAATGGGCATCTTTGGGCTGGGCATTTCATGGGCAGGGCTGGGCATCGGGCAGGACATGCTGCCCTGCATTTTGGCCCTGCCCAGATCATGATTATATATATTTAATTTATAAAATAATATTAATATATTACATTTCTTTACCTAAAAAAAGTTATCTCCCTCCTCTTTGCAATTTA